ACAAAATCAGATGCAAACCTTTTTATAAAAACACAAGGACAAATAGGGTCATTTTTGTACCCTTCTTTTAGCAAAAAATGGCTAAGACGGTTGTACCACATCCGTCCTGATTGTTTTAACCCATATAAGGATTTCTGAAGCCTTATAGAACAATTTTCTTGCGAATTTTTATATGCTTCAGGCACATTGAATGATTCAGGAACTTTCATGAAAATATCGTGGTCCAATGAACCATATAAATAGGCAGTGACAACATCCATTAGACACATTTCAAGCTTTTCATAAACTGTCAGATTTATTAGATACCTGAAGGTAATTGCATCAACCACAGGAGAATATGTCTCCACATAATCAATGCCAGGCCTTTGTGAAAAACCTTGTGCCACAAGTCGTGCTTTATATCTTACGACTTCACCTTTTTCATTTCGTTTTCACACAAAAACCCATTTATACCCTACTGGCTTGACACCTTCAGGTGTTCGGACTACTGGTCCAAAAACTTCACGTTTTTCAAGTGAAGTCAATTCCGCTTGAATTGCCTCCTTCCATTTTAGCCAATCATTTCTCTGTCTGCATTCATTGACATATTTTGGTTTAGAATCCTCACCTTGTTGCATTATTTCAACAACATTATAAGCAAAAATATTGTCCACCATAATACTATTTCGATTCCACTTTTTTCTCGTCGAGACATAACTTATTGAAATTTCTTCATTCTCATTATTTTCAGTTATTTTGGACCTTCTCTGTGGTCTTTTCATTTGTTATGTCTCGGAGCTCTTCTTGAGCAATTTCCTCCATGATATGATCTTCATGATCATTTGCTCCTTTTCTTTTTTTGAGGATTTTTATCCTTTAAACCAATTGGCCTACCACGTTTTAAACGTGGTTTAGACTCATTTGCTTTAACAATTTGTCCTACCGGGACATCAACTCAAACTGGAGCATTTGCAGCTAGAATATAAGATTTAGTAACCCTTGGAAGGTTAGTAAATGCATCTGGCAGTTGATTTGCAACATTTTGCAAATAAATAATCTTTTTAACCTCTTGCTCACATTAATTTGTTCGAGGATCTAAATGAGATAGGGATAATGAATTCCAATCTATCTCTTTTTCCAACTGCTTATGTTCTCCCCTTAATGTTGGGTATACTGATGTCACGCCCCGAGCTTACACCCTGGATGTGGCTGGCACTCGGAGACCATTGCTGGCCCCAAGCGAACCCTTGGCCTGGCTTACTTAACTTAATGGAAGACTTAACTCAACAAAATAAACTCATGTAATAGTTTAAATGATAACATCTTAGCCAAATTGGAAACTTCTGTCTCAAAACAAAGTATCTGCAAATACACAGATGAGAGACTCATAACTAACTGTCTGACTATCTATGAAGCCTCTATAATACTGAGATGGATGATGGGACAGACCTCATAACATCCTAATAATGAAAGACTAAAAACGAATAAAAGAGTCCTCCGGAATGCAAGGAGGCTCACCACTGACT